AGAAATAACCTCTTTCCAGGCTGAAGGATCTTGGAGGCCCAAGCCCACGCTGATTTGCGGTAAAACCCCATAAGCAAATTTATGCAAATGAGAGGGGACTGGTGGCTCCTATCACCCCAAGCACAAAATGACACACATGTACTGAGAGTCTTTTCCCCAACCACCATCTCCAGACTCCCAAGCCACGAGGAATCCCCCAAAAAAGGGGTCCCCAGCATCCCACAGGTCCCCATCCCCAGGCTTAGACACCCTCACAAGAGAGTAATTTAACGCCATTCCCAGCTTAAGCTCCATATCTACCGGGCGTGAAATTAGTTCCAGCAAGCTGCAAATTTGCCACTAATAAAAATATTTAGCAATTCGCTAGTCTTTAAATCAGGAGCAGAATATTTTCTTCCCTGCATCAACGCCTGTTTCTTTTTCATTCTAATATTGGAGCTCCAGCCGTAAAACTGGAAGTCTCACGACTGCAGGAGCGGTTTTAAATCAGTTCCCTCAGCGCTTCCAACTCCGCCACCAAGACTTTGATCATTTATTATCATTTGATACTAGGCCACGTTGGTTTTTTGGCCACCAGGATGAGCTGGCCGTGGTGGATTTGCAGGTTTTACGCCAAAAGAGGCCATTTTGACCCAAAGCTGCTCTGTTTTGCTCCTCTCACAAAAGAGCTTTGATCCATGTGATCCCATCTTGCAGGCCTTGGAGGAAGGTGACCTCTCCATCCTCCTGTGCCAAGGGTTTAATTAGCCTCAGTGCTAATTGTGTCCCTCTGCCAAGCCCATTTCATCCAATGCCAGCCTCAGGATCTTTGTCACGCCTTTGCCAAGAAATGCCACAATTCCCTTGTGGCATTCATATTTTTTGAAAAATCCCTTTGCCCAGGATTTTTCTCCTGGGAAGCTGAGAAGCCTCAGAGAAAAAGGAGAACAATAATTTTCTGATTTGCTTCTCCTGTGTTTTACTCCTTTAGAATGTGTTTGGGCATTGTTTACCCACAGGTGATTGTTTCATTGGTTTCATGTGAATTGTTTTGACTCATTGGCCAATCAGGGCCCAGCTGTGTCAGGGCTCTGGAAGGAGTCAGGAGTTTTCATTATTATCTTTTTAGCCTTCTGTAAATATCCTTTCTGTATTCTTTAGTATAGTTTAGTTTAATATTCTTTAATATAATATAGTATCATAAAATAATAAATTAACCTTCTAAGAACCCAAAGTCAAATTCATTGTTCCTTCCTGCCACGAGAGTCCCTGCAAATACAATATTCCCTGATCTCTTCCTTGGGAAAAACTCTCTGCAGTGATGACACAGCCTTCAAATCATTCCTTTTCCTTGGCAGGACAGCAGCACCCATCCACTGGAGAACACTGAATTATTTGTGCCCAAATAAATCCTTTGAATTGGGTTTTTTGGGCAACAAGCACCCAACAGCAGCTGTATGACTCTGCTTCTCCTTATTTAAAGCAGATTATTCCTTGAGAGCCTTGCCAGGAAAGGCTTTATGATACCTGTATTATGGATATCAAACACACTGGAGCTGGAATCGATCATCACCACACCATTTGTCATCACTTGGATGTGTCCTGTCCCCAGCACAGGGGTTTGGGTGCAAACACCACATGGTGCAAATCAAAAGTCTTGGAGAACACCTGGATGTGTGACACCAGCAAACATCCCCACATCAACAGTTATCCTGGGAAAAAACACCACATGTACGAATCCTCTCCCAGAGTCACGCAAACAACACAAAAATACTCAATATTTGCTGCTCACCCATGTTTTTTATTTCACCTTTCACACCCAGCGTTGCCTTTCTCCCACTTCCTGTTACTTCTTTTTTCCATCTGCAATGCAACTCTGACACAAGCAATAAATGGGAACAAATCCCAGCAGGTAAAATCTGGAAGGAAAAGTTATTTTAAGCCAGCAATAAATGATTCTTTGGCAATAAAATCAGATCTTTGCATTCAGCTGATGGGCTGATGGAGCAGTTTGCAAGGCAAATCCCCAGCAAGGCATTTCTGATGCTGGGAGGAGGCTGGGATGCAGGAGAGAGATGGGTTTAGGATGATGAGCTTTGTTGCAGATGGGCTGAAGAAATTTCTGGTGAAGGTTGTACTTGGAAATATCACACCAGTAGGGTTGGTTTTCCCAGTGTTCCTTGTCTGTGGGTTTACCATTTGCCTTCATTGTGCTCAGAGAGACCTGCAGTCTTGCTGTGAAACCATGTGGGCTGGGCAAATAAATATTATTAAACATTATGTATTATATGTAATATGTAATATAATAGATATAATAGATATAATAGATAATACATTATATATTATGTATTATGTATAATATATATTATATAATATATTATGTATTCTGTATTATATATTCTGTATATTATGTAATATGGAATACATAGTATATAGTATGTAATATTTATTATAGAATATAGACTATAGAATACAGAATATAATTATATGTTATGTTATATTACATTATATTATATTATATTATATTACATTGTATTATATTATATTAATTGTCTAGTATATATTATATTATATCTGTAATATATTATATATTGTATATTATAAATTATAGATTATAGATATTATAGATATTGTATATTATATGTTATATCTATTATTAAATATTGAATACATTTAATATTAAAGGGACAAATATAGAAATATTTTGGAGGGTGTTGGGCTGCTGGGCCCATTTCTACTAATTTCAGCTCCAAATCTTTTGCTTGCGTTACCATCAGCCCTATTGCAATGGTGGGGTTAAAACCAGCAAGCAGCAAGGCTCAGAGCTGGCCATTGGATGTGCTCGCTGGGCTGTAAATTGCATTTATCCTTCAACTTCTGGCCAGATACCTGGGATGTAGTGAGGCCCACCAGCAGGATCAACAGCTGGATGATTTGAGCTCTCTGCTTCAATCTCTTGAACTGGCTCAATGTTGCTGTTGCTGGCATCAAGAAACTACCAGGCAGCACCAAGACATGGAGATGAGAAATGAAAACCCAATCAATATGGGAAGAGGTTAACGAGGCTGTTGGAAAAGCTGTGGATAAGAGGTACAAGAGAAAAATAAGCCAAGGAAAAGCCTTATTGGCTGATGAATAAAATGTATCACTTCCAGATGAAAAGCCAAAAGGTGCAAAAGAACGGCAGAAGGAGAAAGCTCCAGCTGAAAACAGGGTTATGAAGAAGAAATTTGGAAGTTTAGAAAGTACAGAAATGCAAATAAATTGGAAAACAGAGAAAAGCAAAGGGAGAACCCCAAACAACAGGAGCAAACATTAAATTTCTCATGGCCAGCAGGAGCAGGGAACAGAGGGAACAGAAGAGGAGGAGTGGGAAGAGAACAGCAGAGATGGACACAGCACGGCGGGGGCTGCAGAGGGGAAAAGCCCTGCCTGGTGGGGTTAACTCACGGAGCAGAGCAGGAAAGGAAGGAGTTTGCAATCAAACATACGTTTTAATGTGCTGGCAGCCGGTTCCTGCTCCATGCCAAGCACAGGCAGGTGTCAGAGACAGTTTGTGTTCTGCTTGCTGAAGCATTTGGTGTCATGCTGGCGACTCTGATTTCATCACAGGGAAAGGAAGGCAGGTCGGTGCTGCACAGAATAATTAACTGCTGGTTTATTCCTCCCCTTGAAAGAAGCGACAGAAAACGCCCCCTCAGGTGACATTTTATGCAGCCAAAGTATTGCAGACTTCAAGCAGTGGGGACAGAAAATATCAATGTTTAGGTTTTCTTGGGTTAACTGAGCCTGGAGTGCTTGGGGTTGCAACAGGATCGTCTTTAAAGTCCTCTCCAACCCAAACCATGATGTAATTCTGAGATTCTATGATAAAGTCACTCATCAAACCACACTGGCCTCAGTCTGATGTGGGGAAGATGTGGTGATGGAGAGACAGGATTTATAAACAGGCTGAAATATTTATTTTAAATGTAAATTCCTCGTCTTGATGTTAGAAGATGCTTATAGCATTGACAAACTTCCCTAGTTTGGCTTGGCTGTCCCAGACCCCCAGCATGGCTGTTCCAAAACCCGTGTCAGCGTTACTGTATGAACGAAATCTGCCTGATTTTGACCCTAAATATAAATGAGGGCGTGGACAGCTCAATTTTTAGGGTAGTGGGGTGAAAGTGCGTTCAGAGCTGGGTGGCGCCGGCCAAGGCGAGGTAATGAAGCACCGATCCGCCTGCACCGGGAGGGAGCGGAGGGAAATTCCCGTTCCACCGGGAGCAGCCCCGAGCGCTGGGACCGGGCCAAGGCCGCGGGACGGGGAGCGGCTGGAGCGGGACCCTGGGGATCCCACGGGGCCAGGAGGGCCGGGAATCAATAGGGACCGGGTCAGCAGGGCCGGAATTCAATAGGGACCGGGATTCAATAGGGAGTGGGTCAGCAGGGCCGGGATTCAACAGGGACCGGGTCAGCAGGGCCGGGATTCAACAGGGACCGGGATTCGATAGGGACCGGGTCAGTAGAGCCGGGGTTCAGTAGGGACCGGGTCAGCAGGGCTGGGGTTCAATAGGGAACAGGGCCAGGATAGGGGTTGAATGGGAGCCGGGACCGGGACCGGGATCGGGACTGGAACCGGGACCGGAACCAGCATCGGGACCGGAACCGAGACCGGGACCAGCATCGGGATCGGGACCGGGACTAGAATCGGTATCAGGATCGGGATGGGGGCCGGAACCCGAACCGGGATCGGGATCGGGACCGGGGCCGGGACTAGAACCAGGATCGGGAACGGGCACTTGCCCCCCGCCCCCCCGGGCGTGCCCCCGCCTCCGGCGACGCGCGTAAAGCCCCGCCCACCCCTCCACCGTCAGCCAATGGGAAGCGCGGAGATAGAGCCAGGTGGGGCAGGGAAAGCGGGGTCCGCGCCCCCTCCCTCCGCCCCTTAGCCAATAGACAGCGCGGGCGGCGCTGCGGGCAGCTCTGATTGGCCGGGGCGGCGCGGTTGCTAGGCAGAAGCGGCGGCGCGGGGCGGCATGGCGGGCGCGCTGGGCGTGGGGCCGGGGGTGCTGGCGCTGCTGCTGCTCTGGGCCATGGCGCTGCTGCTCGTGATGGCGCTGGCCCGCGCCGGCCGCGCCCGGTGAGCGCGGGGATGGGGACAGGACGGGGTGGGGACGGGATGGCCCGGTGATCGTGGGGACCGAGCAGGACCGGGCCCGATGAGCGCGGCGACGGGGCGGGACCGGGTCCAGTGAGCACGGGGATGGAGCGGGACCGGCCCGGTGAGAACGGGGACGGGGGAGGCGCGGGCCCGGTGAGCGCGGGGACGGGGGAGGCGCGGGCCCGGTGAGAGCGGGGACGGGGTTGGATCGTCCCGGTGAGCCGGGGAGACAGGGACGGATCGGGGTGGGTGCGGGACCGGCCCGGTGAGCGCGGGGTTCGGGCCCGCCGCTGCTGAGCTCGCCCCGGCGCTCTCCTGTCCCGCCGCAGGCTCGGCGCGGTGCCGGTGGTGCTCGGAGCCGCCGCGCTCACGGCCGCGCTGCTGCTGTTCCCCCGGGAGGGCGAGAGCCCGGCCCCCGCCGGCGCTGAGGAGGTGAGACCGGGCGGAGGGGAGGGCGGCACCCCGGCCGTGCCCCGCGATTGTACCGGCGCCTGTCTCGAAGCCCCGGGGCTCGGCCTTCTCCGTGGGCATGGCCCCAGATGGGTCTCTGAGCCAGGGACGGCCCTGCGGCCATCCTGGAGCCCTGGGAATGGTTCCTCACCCGGGGATGGGCTGCAGGATGCCCTGGGAATGGTTCCATACCCCGGGGATGGGCTGCAGGATGGCCTGGGAATGGTTTCGTACCCCGGGGATGGGCTGCAGGATGCCCTGGGAATGGTTCAATACCTTGGGGATGGGCTGCAGGATGCCCTGGCAATGGTTCCTCACCCGGGGATGGGCTGCAGGATGCCCTGGGAGTGGTTCCATATCCCGGGGATGGGCTGCAGGATGCCCTGGCAATGGTTCCTCACCTGGGGATGGGCTGCAGGATGCCCTGGGAATGGTTCCTCACCCGGGGATGGGCCATAGGATGCCCTGGGAATGTCCTCACCCGGGGATGGACCATAGGATGCCCTGAGGCCCCAGGAATTGCTTTTAGCTCAGAGGCGGCCCCAGTACCACCCCTGTGCCCCTGAGATTGTCCCGTGCTGCCTCTGTGCTCTCCCTGTGGCACATGCTGTGTCGCTGGTGGAGCTGGGAACTGGTCATTTCCGTGGTTAAATTGCTGATTTACACACTGGTCCCCTGCCCCTGGGGTTTGCCTCCCCTCCTCCTGTCCCCAGGGACTCCATGCAGGGATTGCCCTCCTGCTTTGGTCCCTCCCAGCTCCAGCAGCCTCTGCTCCCTCTCTGCCATTCCCTTTCCTTATCAGCTTTCTTTCCTTATCAGCGTTTCCCTCAGCTCTGATTTCTGGTTAAAGCCCATTACAGCTCTTCAGCTCTCTGGTAGGTTCTTGCCATGCTTGAGCACGAAGCCATCTGCCCTGTCAGGCCCAGGGATCTCCCCAGTTTTTGGATCAGGCTGTCTGAGCTGCCACCTTGAGCTCTCACAGAGCTCTTTGGGCTTTGAATACACAAAGTTTTGTGCCCTTTCAGGTGCTGTTTCCTCCGTTCATTATTAATGCGTGTTAATTACTGCTTTTCTAGTTCTTGTTCTGTGTAAATCCCTACTAAAAGAGACTTGTAATGTTCTTTTTTTCTCTCTGTGTCACATCTGACCTGCTCCTGTGAAGGTTAGGAGTGAGATGAAGGGCACCCAGTGCGTGTTTGTTGCCTGGGAGGCAAATGGAATTGAAAGCTTATTTTTTCACGGATCTTCAATTGGACTGGACCTGCCCTGCCTATCAATAATACATGACCTGGGCTTTCTGCACCAAAACTCTGCTAATTGGCTAATTAAAAAGTGAAACGTGCAGAAGGAGCCAGCACTGGGCTCACCAGAGACTCTGCAGGAGCACCAGGGCTGAGCTAATGCGATGGATAAAGCTGAGCTGGGGCTGAGCAGAGCTCGGGGGGCCTGGGGAGCAGAGAGGGGATTTCATAAACAGCTCCTCACCGTGGGCCTCTCTTTGTCTTGCCTGGCTACCACAGTTTTATTTTTTAATTGTTATTTTTCTCTTTTCTCGCCATCTCCCTTCTAAAAGGGAATCAGGGCTGGAGGTTTGTGGCTGGGGAGAAGAGAGCTGCTTCAGGGCTTGACTGCTGCCTCTTCCCTGTGCTCAGAACTCTGCTGCTCCACATTAACATTCCCAGCAGCTTTTTGCAGGAATTCTCGTTCTCATTTGTCACACACTGTGCATCCCAGGGATGAAAAGCAGGAGAGGAATCTGGGGGAGCCCCTTTTTTGCAGGATGTGGTGTGCTCCCTCCAGGCCCCTGGGGCAGGCTGGGGCTGTGACCTGCTGGGATCTCTGTGTTCCTGTCCCCTGCAGGTTGTGGACACCTTCCTCATCGGGCGCTTCGTCCTCCTGGCTGTGATGAGCCTGGTGTTCCTGGGGTGCCTCTTCCTGTTCCTGATCTTCCACCTCATGGAGCCTGTGTATGCCAAGCCACTCCACAGCAGATAGAGACAGCAGTCTCTGCAAAAAGGACATCCTGATAATGGCAATAAACCAGAAGAGACACCAGGAGGCTGCTCTGGAGGTGACCCTGATGTTCTTTCTGAGCTCAGAAAGAGCCAGCAAAGCAAGTGAAGCCTTTGCTTCATCTTAAAAAGCAACGTTTGGTCTGAGCACGAGCTCCTTCCTCCTCAGGGGTTCAAGCCTCTGCACCTGCAAAGGTGTGTGAACCTCTGAATGCTGCTCTCATTTACAGAGAGCTCAGATCCAGCACTTGGTGCTGCTCCTGATTCAGTGCACTGAACCAAGATGGTTTGTTATTGTTACCCACAGGAGATGGGTACAGCAAACAAACAAACATGTAACAAGCAAGAGCAGTTTGTTACTGCTCCTTTTTCACTGTGGTTTAATAAAACTCTTTGAGAAATCCCCGCCTCAGGCTTGATTTATTCCACAGGGATGTCACATTTGGCCACACTGTGGTGACAGTGCCCATGAGAGCTGCCTTTTTTCTGGGTTTGAGAAAAAAACCCAAACAAACATCACTGTGTGGCTGTGGATTGTTTGGGATGGTCCCTGGGACTGGAAATCAGAGGCTTTGGAGGGGGAGTGAATGCAAAGTGATCCAGAACAGCAAATGGAAAGCTGCCCTCCCAGGAGTGAGCAAAAAGCTGTGTCTGCCCTCCCTGGTGCTGAGCAGTGCTCCCAGCCATGGAAAATGCAGATACCTGAGTGTTCCCTGCCTGTGAAGGCCCTCAGGTGGCACCCTGGGTGCTGCCAAAGGCTCACAGTTGCTGCCACCCTAAAACTTCAAACCTTTGCTCAATTCTAGCACAGATCCTGCTGGAGCTGCTGGTCACCCTTCCCTTCCCTTCCCTTCCCTTCCCTTCCCTTCCCTTCCCTTCCCTTCCCTTCCCTTCCCTTCCCTTCCCTTCCCTTCCCTTCCCTTCCCTTCCCTTCCCTTCCCTGTCCCTCTTTTCTGCTCCTGGGGGAGCAAACATTCTCTGTGTTCTGCAGGGGCAGCAATGGGGTTGAATCCCATTTTTGTCCCTATTTTGGGGGAAGCCAGGGGAGCAGTGCTGCTGAGGCAGAGCCTGTGCTGAGATGAAGCTGAGGGCAGCAGTGGCACGAGCTGTTTCTGCACAGCCACTGCTGCTCTGGGCCCTCCGTGGCAGCAGCTTGTTTTCCTGCATGAAATCTCAAAAGGCTTTTAAATTGCAGGAGAAAAGCATTTTTGGTGGCCTGGAGCATCCTCTGACTGTTTTGTAGCAGGGAAGAAGCCATTTTACCCTCCCTGTACACTGGGGAGAGGCTCCCACAGGGAAGGGTTGTGACCGTGATCACAGGAGTGTGAGGATGAGGGAAGAGACGAGGATCTGACTCCATGGTTCAGAAGGCTGATTTATTATTTTATGATATATATTATATTAAAACTATACTAAAAGAATAGAAGAAAGGATTTCATCAGAAGGCTGGCTAAGAATAGAAAAGGAAAGAATGATAACAAAGGCTTGTGTCTCAGACAGAGAGTCCGAGCCAGCTGGGCTGTGATTGACCATTAATTAGAAACAACCCCATGAGACCAATCCCAGATGCACCTGTTGCATTCCACAGCAGCAGATAACCATTGTTTGCATTTTGTTCCTGAGGCCTCTCAGCTTCTCAGGAGGAAAAATCCTAAGGAAAGGATTTTCCATAAAAGATGTGTGTGACAAAGGGGTGGGGTGGGCTCTGTTACTGTTCGTGTTCTCCAGCCCCACAGGGATGGAGCTGCTCAGCCTTCCATGGCTGAGCTGAGAGTGAGGTCAAGTGAGACAGCCCTGAGCAGGGGTCAGGGTCAACACAGCCAAAAACTTGAGGGCAGAAATTCAGATTTTTTTTTCCCCCATTTTAAAGTTTTTTTTTTTTTTTTTAGCTGATGACAGTAAATTAAAGAACCCCCTGTCATTTTCCAGCCCTTTCCTGACAGCTGTCAGTCACCAAGCAAAGCTTTCAGGACATGAAAGATTGATAAGGCAGAGCCAGTGGGCGTAGAGGTGATGCTTCCCTGGCAGAAAATGCCCCAGCACCCCAGAGCAGTGACTCAGTCAGCTACAACATGTAAGAACAGTCCCAAAAAAAGCAGAGAAGAGGCATCTCTGCTTTCCAAACAGCAGCCAAGCTCAATCCCTTCCTGTTCTGAAGCCCATGACAAGGGAGTGTGTTGAGGAAATGCTGAACATTTATGCAGCACAAGCACATTGAGGTCTCCTGGTGATTTTGATGTTACACCTGAAACAAAATTCATATTTAATTCATTGTGTTAATAACATTAATGAACATGGAGTTTCTCTGGCAGCTCCAGCTCTGTGCCTGCTGGGTTGTTATCCCTGTGTTTGTGGGATGATTTGGGAGCCTCAGTGAGGCCACAGTTTCACCAGGGCTTCAGTCCAGCAAATGGGAGGGAAACCACAGCAAAAGCAGCTGGGGCACTAAAAACCCAACCCTAACAGCAGAAATGTGAAACTTCCCCCCATTTTGTGCTGTAATTAAACCCAAATAAGGGCTTTTTCTGTCCCCTTAACAGTTTGTGACTGAGTTGAAAGGCTGATAGAGCAGCAGTTATTTTGGGGAGAGCAGAAAGCCATGCTGCAAGACAGACACAGTAGCTCCTGCTCAAGGAGGTCATTTCAGCATTTTCTCAAAAACCCCATTAACTGGAGAAAGCCTCACGTGCTCTCACCCCCACTGAGCCATTCTGAGCTTCATCCTCATCCTTCACAGCCCCTGGCAGTGGGGAGCCACCAGCTGGATGAACTCAGCCCGGGCTCTCTGTGTATTTATTTATTCTGGGGAGTTCTGCTCCTCCCCACACAGGGGCTTTCCAAACGGTTCCTGTTTATTTTTGGAACAGGAAGGACCACGTCAAGGAATTGGTATGAGCCAGAGCTGCTTCCCAACCAGCCCCAAACGGTGATTTTTTTGCTTCCATCCACATCCCAAAGCTCCAACTCCTGGAGGATTATCCCTTCCAGCACATCTGCCTCCATCTAGCAGCCTGAGCCTTTATTTTGGAATGAACATGCCACAGGAGGGCAGGTTTGCCTGAATCCCCAACCTCTCAGTTGCAGGTGAGGATTTTGGGACCCCAGAGGATTAAAGCCAAGGAGCCCTGCTCCAGCCCAAGCTGATCCAGCCTTGCCCCTGCAGGATCAGAGAACCAGATCTGCCATGTCCCGAGGTGCAGGCAGAAAATCAGGCTGAATCTCAGTGCCAGAAAGCTGCTGTGTGCCAGGATGGGGGCAGGCTGGCTGCTTTCAGGTCAGGGGGAAGAGCAGCCCTTTTTTCTCCCTGAATTCTCTGCCTGGCTTGTTAGAAATGAGCAGGGATGCCCCTGCACCAGGATGCCCAGGCTGTGCCAGGCTCACCAGCCTGAGGGCAGCTGCTCCCTCCTCCCTGGGGAGGGCAGGGAGCCGTGCCAAAGCAGAGATGGACGGAGCAGGAGTGTCTGCAGGGGAAACTCCTCTCCTTGATTTAAGGCCCTTGAATGACGGCAATTCCTCATGTCTCACGCTGCTCTCTGCTGGCACTTAATTACCCTCACTGGAAAAACTGCCCTCAGATTTCCACCTTGGCTTTGCTGACTTCAGCTTCCCTGCTGCTGGATCCTGATTTGCCTTTGGCTGCTAATTAAAAAGCCCTTCAGCCTTTGCCAGCTGCTCCTTGCATAGGTAATTAGAGAGCGTGCCCCAGCCACCTCTTCACCTTCCCAGCAGACCAGCAGCATTCCTCAAAATCTGAGCAGCCTCTTGCCCATCTGCCTCCTCCTGGGGGATGGCACTGCTGTGCTGGGGGACTGTGGGGTCACCCACAGAAAAACCCAAACACTGCATTTCCCAAACCTGAAGAGCCCGTTTGGGGTGGGATTTGTCCCACCACAGGACAGAGGTGGACACGTGTCCATGCTCTCAGGGCAGGGCCAAAGGGGCTCATGGCACAGGAAAAGCAGCAGCCCCTTATCCAGCAGAGGAGGAGCAAGGTGAGTTGTCCTCCAGATTCCTCCCAGAGGAGCTCAGCTCCATTTAAACCATTTTTTTGGCTAAGCCAAACCCAGGGGATCCCCTCTCTGCCTTCCCACTCACCCTTCAATTCCAAAGCTCAGAGAGATCTGGAGTTTTCTTTGGCATTTGGCTCCTTTAATTTTAAGTTTGAAACTGCCATGGGCTGTGTGCCCTTTCTCCTCGCTCCTGGCAGTGGAGCCAAGGCTGTTCAGACTTTCCAAACAGAAGTGGGACACGGCCCAGGCCTAAATTTGTCCCAGAAAGATTGTAAGCAGCTGAAAGAACAAGCAGGAGGGGGGAAAGCAAAAAAAAAAAAAAAAAAAAGAAAGAAAGGGGGGAAAAATTCCCAAACCAATAAGCCCCTATGTGTGTCAGGACTTACAGGATTTAAGGGTATTTTGAGGCCCCCCTCCCCAGGAGGATGGCATCAGGTCACCCAGCAGTGTGAAAGCTCCATCACACTGCACTGACAGGGCCTTCTCACCCAGCTCATGGAGCCCTGCAGCAGCAAGGTCCTTGTGCCCACAGAGGCCACGAGTGCCACGAGCCTGGGGACACTGCAGGGTCACCCCGAGGCTGTGCTGGGGACAGACCCTGCAGTGACCTCTCCCTGTGCCTCCAGCAGGGTTTAGCCCCGTGGGATCGATGTTTTCCTGGGAAAAAGGGCAATTGGGGATTTTGTTTTTTTCTGCCTGCTCCATCACTTTTCCTGCTTTTTATCCCAAGGCCCATTGAGCATCAACCAATCAGAGAGGAGGGGATTGAAGGCCATCACTGCTTGGCCACCTCAAACCTGCAGCTGCCACTCTCCAGGCTGCCTGACCCCTGTGCCACTCCATCCCTCTGTGCCACTCCATCCCTCTGTGCCACTCATCCCCCTGTGCCACTCCATCCCCCTGTGCCACTCCATCCCCCTGTGCCACTCCATCCCCCTGTGCCACTCCATCCCCCTGTGCCACTCCATCCCCCTGTGCCACTCATCCCCCTGTGCCACTCCATCCCCTTGTGCCACTCCATCCCTCTGTGCTGACCCCTGTGCCACTCCATCCCCCTGTGCCACTCCATCCCCCTGTGCCACTCCATCCCCCTGTGCCCCCTGTGCCACTCCATCCCCTTGTGCCACTCCATCCTCCATCACCCCCACAGGTTTACAGGGAGCTGCTCCAACTGGCTGCAAGTTTCCTCTTTTTTTTCCTCCCACCCTTTTTTTTCCCTTTGCTGATGAAATCAGCACTTAATAAAATCACATCAGGCCCAGATGTTTTCTCCTCGGGTCAAGATCCAAGGAGGTGAAGTCAATTAGAGCTGCAATTTATCCCAGGCACACACAGAGCCCCCGGCACTGCTGGGCAGAGCCCCGGAGCCAGGGCGATCCCCGGGTGGTGAGAGGA